AAAGGAAGGAGAAAAACAAGTTATAACACAGAAAATAAAAAATATAAAAAAGCGATACAACGAACTTTGGAGAAAGCAAGGTTGTTCTTCTGCAAGATTCATGAAATACCATGGAAGTTGGCTTCAAACTGAATACGAGCTTCCAATAAAGCTTAAATGTGACCCTCAGCCGTCCAGTTCTAAAAAAACGAAAAGAGGAAGACCAACAATGCCGTTTTTGGAGATGTCTGCCAGATCCAAACGCCGAATTATTGCTGATGTTGTATCTAATAACGAACCCGAAACTGAAATGTTCCTCAGAGTTGCTGCAACCGTCGCTGCATAAAAAGATAAAAAAGACTTATCTCATTTAATCAAACAAGTTATTCAAAGTCAAAATTTGGCTGCTGTATTGAATAAGATTAATTCTGAAGTTGTGAGAATGTCACCGGAACAAGCGTTATCGTTTTTTTTTTTATACGAATTTGTCCAAAGATCAGTATAATCAAATAAGATTTGCAGCTAAAACTCAAGGTGGCGATATTTTCCCTCCTTATAAGTTGGTATCAGCTGAAAAATCTTAATGCTGTCCAAGTGAAATATTGCAAACAGAAAATTGCATTGAAGTAGAATGAAAGCATTTATTTAAACATACTCTAGAAAGAATTAGTAAATTGCAGCATGAACTTATTGAGAAAGAAATTCCAGAAATTAATGTTGTTCAATGCAAATTTATAGTTTCTTATGGCTTTGACGGTAGCACGCAACAAGCAAGGTTCAATCAAGACCTAATTGAAAATTTTAGTGATAGTTTATTATTTGTGACATCTATGATTCCTTTAAGATTGCAAACAAGCTGTGGAAAAATTTTATGGACTAATCAAAATCCTCAGTCTACTAGATTTTGCCGTCCACAGAGAATCGAATTTGCAAAGGAAAGTAAAGAATACGTAATTCGATTAAAGGAGAAATATGTTAAGGAAATTGCTGAACTCGAAAAGGTTGTGATTATTTTAAAATCTGGAAAGAAACTATTGGTTAAATGTAATCTGTGTTTGACGTTAATAGATGGAAAGATTCAAGCATTTATTACAAAGACATCTACGTTTCAACGGTGTACTGTATGTGGTTGTTCTTCAAAAGATATGAATAAACTAGTAAATTTTACAATATGAGTATTTAATGTTAACCCAGTAGCTATACAATATGGTTTAAGTATTCTTCACATGCATATACGCTGTTTCGAAGCAATGTTACACATTTCTTATAAATTAGTTTTGCCTGAAAATCAATGGCAAGTGCATGGAAAAGAAAACGAAGCAATAATAAAAGCAAGGAAGATTAAAATTCAGATCCGATTCAAAAACAAACTTAACATGCATATAGACATGCTAAAATCTAGCGGTGGCAATAGTAATACGGGAAACGTTGCAAAAAGAGCATTCGAAGATCCGAAGCTCTTGTCTGAAGTTTTAGACATCGACTTGGAGCTTATTCAAAGATTAAGAATACTTTTGTTGTGTATTTCTTATCAATTTCCAATTGACCCAGTTAAATTTAATAACTATTACTTCTCAACAGCATCTCGGTATGTTAAATTATATAAAAAAATTCCTATGACTCACACATTACATAAACTTTTGATACATGGCTCACAAATCATATCAAGTTCAATGAAAATGGTATAGATGCTTTTGAAAACAGTCACATGTATGAAACAAATGTAGATTCTGAAATATATCAATAAGATGATGTTATGATTTTTTATAACAAAAATAGCAGACGTGGTGCAGTGGTTATAGTGTTGAACTCTTTACCCAAGGGGTTGCAAGTTCGAATCGAGTATCAATAAAATTGAACAAAATATTTCGTACAATAACTTTTCTCTATTATTTGCTTGCAACATAGATGGCAGCATGAGTTTTTATCTTTTGTATAAAAAACTTATTCATATTTTTATATAATATTTTACACTTTATTTTAAAAATTTGGAAAAAGTTGTGGGTTAGGAGGGGGGGGGCACTCAGCCTTTCACTCCTCACCACTCCCCTCTGTTACCGGGATTGCGGTATTTATAAATACGCATGTTTTACTTTTTTTTTCCATAAGTTTTTTTTATAAGCTATAAATATATACTTAAATAATATAGTAAAAAGTAAAAAAAATCACTGCATGTCAATTTATTGCTAAAAAAATTCTTATCAGACTCTGTTTCGAAAGTAATGGTCAAAATTTTTTCAAAAAACATTTTGTTATTTTTTCACTCAATTTAGAATACTCTTTTTTATAATTGTGCAAAATTTCAAATGGATTGGCAGATTTTTCGATTTTTGACCATTTTTCCTTTGTTCGGCCCCATTGTGGATGGTGAGAAATTGTATAAGAAAAATTAATCATCCAAAATGGGATGAAATGCAGTTTTAGCTGTGAGTAAAAAGGAATTTAGAACAAGAAAAACTGCTGATACATATTGCATAATTAAGTCTGCTCTACATAAGCATATTGCTATTATACCAACTCATCAAAAATGTTGAGAAATATTTAAGGGTATTCTTAGTGTGATTTATTTGATCTATAAAATTTTTTGTTTAATTTCAAATTTAGTAGCAGTTATTAATATAATAACATATAGGTTAGATTAGAGCGAAGGCGTTTTATAATAAAACACACACACAAAAAAAATTTTTATAGCAATTTTTTTTTTTTTTTGTGGTGTATGGAAGGGTGTAAGGGCGTGTAATTTCTATGAATATACTATGAATAACTATTGCTTATTAACTCCCCTGTTTTCCCCGACCAACTTGAAAAATATAAAAGCTTTTTTAGTCTCTATTTTAGGTCTATTGCTTATTAAGCAAGCGAAAAAAACTTTACTGCAAATTTAATTGAAGCTAAACTTATTTATTTATTCTTTTCATCACCCAAAATTACAGGTAAAAAATACAGAGGTCATAAAACTAATACTTTATACTCTAAGTTAAAATTCTAATTTAGATTCTTTTTGGAATGCTTTCTTCCATTAAATTTTTGATTATCATTCTCTGCTCTCTGATGTTCCAGAATTCAAAGGACTGGTTTAAAATTTCTGCTATATTATCTTCTACGTCATCGTTACGACGATGACAAAAACGAATTCCAGATTTTATAAGAGCTCTGGAGATTGAGATTGAATAATTCTTTCGTTTACATTTTGCTGATTGGATTGTAGCTATATTTTTTCCATGGCCTTGATTTTCCCATAAGAATCCGAGGTGTTTCAGTTTATTATTGAGTTTCAGGAAAAAACCGTTGATTTGTATTATGTTTTTTTTAACTAAACTTTTACCGGAGATAATGAACTCGGTTTTTCCTGTGTTTAATTTGATATAGAGGTTTTGACAATGCGTTTGAACTTTATTAATCAACTCTTGTAGCCCAGAAAGAGTAGAACTTTGCAGGATTATATCATCTGCACAAGCAATAATACCAGTGTATAAACCCATTACTGTTGTTCCAACTTTACAATCGAAAACTATTTGACTTAATATACTTTCAGTATAAATGTTGTATAAATGTGGCGATAAAATGGGCCCTTTTCGTACACCTTGAGACAAGCGGAAATTATTTGATTTATGTCCAAGGTATGATATATTAGCGATATCCGAGCGGTATAATGATTGTAGTGCGCGAACTACTGATAGCGGTAAGTTTTTGTTGTAATAAAGTTTCTCAAACAGCAAATCCCAGTTACAGCTATCAAAAGCCTTATTTGCATCTAAACTACAGATATATACTGGCGAGTTATTATTATTATAATGTTTTAATGTCTCACTCAATAGGAACTCTGCATGCAGGGTGGAGCTATTTTGCTTTAAAACAAATTGATGAGAGTGGCTGTCTGATAATTCCGGACATACTTACATGATAATATATTCAAAGAGTTTTGTCAAGGTAGATGTAATACTAATACCGCAATAGTAATCTGAATTATTAAGAGATTTTTTATAGTATTTTACTATTTGGATAATTTTGGAAGTTGATAAGTACTCTGGCATAGCTCCATTATTAAAGATACTGTTATAAAACTTTGAAAGCCATGTAACGAGATTGTTATTAGAAAAGTTTTTAAGATGTTCTGCAGTAACTCCACAAGAGTCACGTGATCTATTAGACTTTAGCTTACGAATACAAGATTCAATGTCGGAAGTTGATGAGAGTATCTTAAGTTGGGGAATGTTGCGGTGTTCGGAATTGTTGTTAGTAATTGTGGGAGTGTTGAGAATTGTATTAAAGTTTTGTCGAAATTCTTTTACAATTTCCTTACTATCTTGCTTCTTATTAATCGTAAAAATACGAGTGTTCGGACTAGAACTAATTTTTCGGATATTGTTCCAAAACTTTTGAGGATTAGTTTTTCGAAGATATTCAATGTTTTTAGTAATTTTATTGATTTTTAGGTTATGAGCTGCTTTTACTGTTTAACGAAAACTCTTTAGAGATAGCTTGTATTTATTAAATGAAATGTATTCCTGCGATCTGTTATAGTTACATTTTTTTCATTCTTCAAAGTGGAAAGAGAATGTCTTAGCATAATTTAACTTCCGGTGTCCGCCATGATTTAGAATAAATGCAAAATTCTTTTTTTGGATAACATTCTTCCATAGCTAAAGTGGCAGCATTATTTATTTTTTCGCATGTTGTTTGAGTTTGTTTTTCTATTGCTTCTCCAATAAAAGCGTAATCTTTGAAGAACTGAGAGAGGTTCCGATTATAAATTTCAATAAAGTTGTCATCCTTCCTTGCATACTTTGGGATTGTATTTTTCTTTTAAGTATATTACTTATATGATGATCTTCCCATATCGCAAAATTAAGTTACGACCGTTCCCATCTCCATTCCCATCCCGCGTCACATCCCGCGTCATAACGTTATATATATAATCCGATAATCTTTTTAAAAAAAAAGATTAATTTTTTTTTTGTTTAAAGTTATAAAAAAATATATAAAAAAGTTAAATTTTTTGTCAAATCATATTAATTGATAATTTATTGAGTAAAAGTTAATTGATAATTTATTGAGTAAAAAATGATTAAAGTAAAAAAAATAAAGTCAAACGTTAATTATTTGTCAAACCTGTAGCTGTAAGTTTATTGTTTTCTTTTTTTTAAAAAAAATGTTTTGTATTTTTTTTGAAGTGGTTGTGTTTTTTTTTTTTTCAAGATTGTTAAATCCTATGTGCCTGAAAACATATATAAAGCTCCTCAAATCTATGTTCCTCAAGTGGTTGAAACAAGACCACTTGAGGGTTCATTTAACAATTGTATGAAAACGAATTGGAAATATTTGACGATATTCCAGAAATAGACGATGGTAAATTAAAAAATTTTTTATAATCATAATTTTTTTTGTAAAAAAATATATTAGTTTAAAATAATTTTTTTAGAACAAGTTCGCATACTCGACAGAATAATGGTAAGAATCGATCGACATTTAAACAACGACAGAATGAAAAGAAACGAACAATATTTTGCAAGACGCGTGTTATGTTTAGGATGTTGTCTGTGTGACGAAGAAAGTGAGCACAATCATTGTTGTGTCCGTCCAACGTGGTAAATATATGGCTGCAATAGGAGCAATTGCTTCAAAACTTTTACCAAGACTTTTACCTGTAATAGGAAGAGCCGGTTTAGGTGGTGCAGTTTCAGGAGGAATATCTTATGGGATCAATCAAGCTGGAAAATAAAAAAAACATTTCTTTGTATCATTTTAATTTATTAAATATTGTATTAAACCGTGTACACATGCTCGTGTTTTAAATTAAATTTTTCGTAACCCTTATAATAATTAACAAAATTTTCCAAACGTTTTAATAATACGACTAAACGTTTGTTATGTATATCAAATTTCCATATGATAAACGATTCGAAACTCGATTGTTTCTCTTTATAACCCGGCGTATCAATAACAATAATATAAAAATATTTTTTTCGTATACACGTTAATATAAAACAAAATTCATAAGTTCTTTTAAATTTGTAAAGTTTGTTATTTCTACAATACAATCTAACTTGTCTATCAATTCCTCGATTGATTTATATTTTCTTTTTTCAGTATTATTTAATACTTCTCTACAAATCTTCTCCAATTCATAAAGGTTCATATTCATTTATTTTGACTATAAGCACACAAACAATATAATGAAGTGTTCCAAGAATAAAAAGTAATATCATTATCAGCAACGTAAACATCAAAACCATTAACAAAAAATTTGCTATCTTTCCAGAAACGAGTAACAACAATTTTGCTATCTTTCCCAATTTGAATAATTATATAATTTTATTGCATTAAGTTTAACAAAGTTTCCAACACATTGAAAAAACTTACATATTCGTATACCACTTTTTTTAATAAAATTTAAAACTTCCATTTAAAAAAGAACTTTCTATGAACGATAGTTATGACAACTGCCTGCATATAAATTTGGTTTTACTTCTTCTGGCTTGTACGGTTTTACAACTGCAACAGGTTTTGGTTTATCGAACTGTTGTAATGGTTTGTTCTTTAATTCGCTAGATTAATTTTAAACAAAAAAAAAAATTAATCTTTTTTTTTAAAAAGATGATCGGATTATATATATAACGTTATGACGCGGGATGTGACGCGGGATGGGAATGGAGATGGGAACGGTCGTAACTTAATTTTGCGATATGGGAAGATCATCACTTATAACTGGAGTTTAATATGTGTAGCAATGGGTAAATAGTCACTCATGTTTAAATGTGAAGGAGGAATAATTTTACAGTTTGTAAAGCATATTGATGATTTTTTTAAGACTGCTATGTGATCGATGTAAGATGAATCATTTAGTGTTTTATGCCTAGAAAAATTGTTACGTGTTTGGTTATTTCGAACTTCCGTGTCATATATATTTTTGGGAAATGACTGAAAATCGCAGGCAGTTTTACACTCTCCTTCATCCTCCTATGTGTTAATGATGGAGGCAGTTGCACTATGTTTAGACATATATTGTTCTAATGATTTAAAAGTATTTCTGCATGAAGTAAGATAAATTCCAATAAAAATAAAAACACTGTTGCCATATGAACCTTTTATTGCATTTAAATGAAATTTCGAAATTGTTACCGAATTTACGTGAAAGCCGAATTTCTATTTCAACTTCGGCACAGAAGTAAAAGCCAAAATCAACTTCGAAGTTAAGTTTTTTAAGAAGATATCGCTAGAACGAGATTTAGTTGTATATATTTCAAATGATTGAAAATGGGAACATCATATTAAGTTTATTGTTAACAAAGTTAATATTAAGTTGGGGTTAATAAAACACGCGTTCAACTATATATACAAAAATACTATGAAATTATTATACATACCACTCGTGCAACCTCACTTTGAATATGCATTTCAAATTCAGAACCCATACTACGCTAAATCTCATAGAGCCCAAAAACGAGCAACTAAAATTTGTTTCCCAAAAGGTTTAAACTATGAACAACGGTTACAAAATATGGAACTTTCAAAATTAATTGTTAGAAGGTTGCGAGGTAATCTAATTCAGATGTTTAGATTTCAAAACAATATAGATAAAATAAACTCGCATGAACATGAACATTAAAGAATTACTAATACTACGAGTATAGACAGGCGAATATTTGTTAAAATTCGGATTATTTTTTTTTTATTATTTTTTTTTTATTTAATTTTCCGTTTTTGTTACAATTAAATTCCGTAATATAATACCAGATACTCTTATTCTTTCAAAAATAAACCAGTTATAAATATAAAATATCAAAGACAAAATAATAAGAGTTAGTTATACAAAAATAAATAAAAACGCGGGAAACTTGCAGAAGAACATTAAGTCTTATCATCAAGAACCGTTGTAATTATGTTTTTACAATATTAAGTGTTAAAATCAAAACTTAATTAACTAAGGTAAATAGTGTTAAAACCAAAATCTTTTCAATGTAAAAAGACAAAAACAAAAAAACAAACAAAAAAACAAAGCAGTTTAAAAGAAATCATTAATAAGATTTGTATACTTTGAAATATTCTTTTTTATTAGTTTTTGAAAGCAATTTATATTGTTTACACCTGGTAAATTACTTTATTTTGCTAAGATTTTATTCCAGATATGCGGAGCACGATACGCAATTTTAAATTGTTCTTGTTTAGTTTTGCACAATGGTTCAATGAAGTTTTATGAAGTTCAATAAAGGATTATGAAGTTTACTGAAACGCAAAGTTGATTTCGGCTCCGACTTCGGTGCCGAAGTTGAAATAGAAATTCAGCTTTAAGGTAAATTTGGTAACAATTTCAAAATTTCATTTAACTTTCAGTTAAATTCGAAAGTTATAAAGTTTTTTTCAATTTATAAAGAAGAAATATAAAATATATCATATGTTTTATGTATATCAACATGTTTCTATTAAATAAAATTCGAATTTAAATTCGAGTGTTAATAAGTCGTCTTCGCTGGTCTCTAAATACGTCAGAGTTAGTTGATAAATAAAGGCTCTTTTGGTCCGATATTAACACTTTGATACTTGTTTTTCCTTTTGCAATTTAAAGATTATTTTGTTTTGTTTTTTTATTTTCTTATATCAATCAATTTTAGGAAATTTAAAAAAAAAAAGAAGTTAACTATGACTAACTTATCCGCAACTAGCATTTGTTTCTTCAGTGTCACTATATGCACCACTCTAGCATAAATTCACTTTTTTAATGAGTAAAATTTGCCTAGGAGGCTTTTTTGATACTATTTTAAAAGAGTTACACGAAGACAACTGACAGAGTTGTGTAATTAGATATGTTAATTTGCCCTTTTTTTTGAAATTGTAAAAAGAGTACTTTTACTCAAATTTTTACATTTTAACGATGGGCAAATGAGGAGGATTTCGGTAACATCATTTAGCAAATGATACAAATATAATTAGCTGTTTGATTTAAAGCTGAATAAGGTTTGCTTTATAAAAATTGTAATAAAACTGTATCCATTCGTTGTTGATGTAAAAGTGTACGGTAAAGGTTAAATTAATATACATTTATAAGCAATTTTTTGTAATAATATTATTAATAAATTGTATTATTATTTTTAATACTTTGTTATATAAAACTTATATTACTCTCTCTCTCTCTCTCTCTCTCTCTCTCTATATATATATATATATATATATATATATATATATATATATATATATATGTATATATATATATATATATATATATATATATATATATATATATATATATATATATATATATATATATATATAAATAAATAAATATATATATATATATATATATATATATATATATATATATATATATATATATGTACCTACCTATATATATATATATATATATATATATATATATATATATATATATATATATATATATATATATATATATATATATATATATATATATATATATATATATGTATATATATATATATATATGTACCTACCTATATATATATATATATATATATATATATATATATATATATATATATTATATATATATATATATATATATATATATATATATATATATATATATATATATATATATATATATATATATATATATATATATATATATATATATATATATATAATGTATATATGGTAAGCCATACTATATTAACTTGTTAGAAATTTAAAAGTGTTAAGTATTAATTTTTAAAAATTTTTTGAATATTTTTTTTCCATTAAAATAAAGTTAACATTTCAGTTTTGTATAAAATATTCTTTGAAAATACATCTAATTAAAAATAAAATTTTAATATATTTTTTAGTTTCATCAACTACTGAAGTTATTGTTTCGTAAGGAAACTGTCTTGGAATATTTTTCCATACCTGTTTTATTCTTATTAAACACTATAACTTCTTTACAAACAGTTCTGCGAGCAGTATTTTGTAACACAACTGCTGCAAAAGGCGTGTGCTTGGTTTGTTTGGAAAACCTCTTACTCTGCTATGGATAACTAAGTTTTATGCATTAGCTGAGGATGCAAATTTTGATCATCTCACCGGTAGTAAAAGATGTTTGGTAATAATAAGTGACTGCACTGTTTAGTAAAACAACTGATTTTTTTTCTGAAAAAAAGCTTCTCTCTTAGTGATTTTTTTATGAAAAAAAGCTTCTCTCTTAGATTTAAGAACTAATTAATCTATTGATGATCAGCTTATCAAGATGAATTATATTTTGTCTGTCTTAAGACAGTGAATGGTGTCTTGATTCGATAACATTTGGTTCACAAATAACAATGCAGCCTATATTGGCATAATTCTACTCTTAACGAAATAAAAAAAATTCCAATTTTTAGAACAGTTTTTTTACGGCGAAATACGCATATTCTCACATCCCACAGTGGGCCAGTAGATGGACAAAATGGGAAAAAATTTTATTTGTCTAATCTTAAAAACTTATTTAACTTTAGAATCTACATATATTAGGAGAAACTGATTGATAATTGATTTATATTAAATCCCCTAGTTACCAGGACTCTAAACATTTGAATATTGAAATTAAAAAAAAAAAAAACTTTTAATAAGTAATTTACGGTGACATTAACGCTGTGTTATATTTCAATTACATCTACGCTTTTGAAACAAATAATTAGTACATGTTATTCTTAAGTATTAAGGATGGAATGCAAGAAGCGAACTTGAGTCAAGCTCGACTTGAACTTTACATTTCAACCAATAGCGATAGAGTATGGGTTTTCCCCTCAAAAAATACTCTGCCGCTATTGGTTACAAAGTAAAGTTC